CAGATTCAAAAAAACGATGCAGAATAATCCAGGGGACAGAGCGGGCGGCGGAGATGAGTTGGTGGAGGTGCAGTGGCAGATCCAATAATGGCTCGGCAGCCGCCGACAACCAGGCAAGGGTTGGGTGAAGGTTCCGGGAGATTGACTGCAGATAGAAACAAAACGGAGGTAAGTACACGGCAAGCCAACAAGGTGCAAAACAACAAAACTAACGCTAGAAACTCCAAGGCTGATACACTGACAAACATACTGTTCATGGCTAACGATCCGGCAGGGAATGGATGTCAGGTCAGAGCTTATGAAGGGTGATGATCAGGACCAGGTGTGCAGACCGCTGATGAGATGCAGGTGCGGTTAATCGGGAGATCTCCCGCCTAGCAACGTCGCCCGGCAACCAGGCCGGGAGCGTTCAAGAACCCTCAGGAAACTGGAGATTCCGAGCAGAAAAATGGCAACACAGGCAGGAACCGACTCAGGATGCAGGGTTCATGACATAGGCTATCTCTCCCACAGTAGCCTATGCACAACAACAACAACGATGTTAGCCTGAGCCAGATGAGCTAACATCTAGCAAAAGGAACGATAGGTAAATCCTCTAAAACTTTTTCAACGTGTAGTTGACAGCAAAAACTGCACTGTGAATACGATGGGGAATAGTAGACTGCAGCCTGCCCCTTGTCCCATAATAACCCATGTTTTAACAAGTGAATGAGATTTACAGCTTGCATGCCTGCTCATTTGATCGATTGCAAATACATTGATTGACAAAGAGATATGCTAACAGTCGTTCAAGTTTAAGTAAATGGTAGCTAGCTCAGTTAGTGTCAGGTGTCAGTGTGTAGGACGGAGTCAGGCGCAGGACATAGAACTGAGTAAATAATTACCTTTACTCGGAAAAGCAATACATCTAATTTTCAAGCAGGGAAATACAAATGCTAACAGCAATACATAACACCAAACAAAGAACAATCACGCACAAAACCATGAGGGAAGCAGAGGGTTAAATAGGGAAATAATCATAACGTGATGGGAACCAGGTGTGTACAATCAAGACAAAACAACATAGAAAAAGAAACGTAGATCGGTGACGGTGACGACGACCTAGAAGACCGGTGACGACGACCGCCGATAGCCGCCCGCACAAGGAGAGGCACCAACTTCGGCTGAAGTAGTGACAGTACCGCCCCCCCCCCCCTAACAATAGGGATCCCTAGTCTAAGTGCAAATGCACGGTCAATAAAGTTCCCAGCTGCGCCTGAATCTACTAGCGCATTATAGTGGGAATGCGGGGAAAACTCAGGAAACTTTACACAGACATACATACATGTGCGCAACAGGGAGCTCTGGGTGAGTCGGGTGCCTACTCACCTGGGATGATCCACCAGTGCCCTGCCTGCTGCTTCGACTCCCTGGGGAACCTCCCCAGCACCGACCAGCAGTGTGCCCTCTGCGGCCACAGGTGGTGCAGGAAACGGCCCCCCCTCCGGTCACCCTATGAGCAACACCTCCGAGCTCCATTGGTGTAGACTCGGAAGTGCTGGGAGATGGAACGGACGGACCCCAATCCGAGCGTCCGCAGGTGGCCAACAGTTTATCCAGCCGGATGGATAAATCCACCAGCTGGTCGAGTGTAACGGTGGTGTCCCTGCTGGCCAGTTCCCCGACGAACGTCCTCCTGTAGACTGCACCGGTAATGGTCGATCAGGGCCCTCTCATTCCATCCCGCGCTGGCAGCCAGGGTCCGGAAGTCTAGTGCGAAGTCCTGTGCGCTCCTCTTCCCTTGTCGGAGATGGAACAAGCGTTCCCCCGCTGCTCTCCCCTCAGGTGGATGATTGAAGACCGCCCGGAAACGGCGGGTGAAATCCTCGTATTGAACCAACGTAGCATCTATCCCGCCCCATTCCGTGTTGGCCCACTCCAGCGCTTTCCCCAACAAACAGGAGATGAGGGCGGGCGTTGGCCCACTCCAGCGCTTTCCCCGACAAACAGGAGATGAGGGCGGACACTCTCTAGCATCACGAGGGAGCTGAGTGGACAGTCGCCAGGTAGAGCTCCACCTGGAGCAGGAACCCCTGGCACCCGGCAGCCATCCCATCATAGGCCTTCGGGAGCGAGAGCCGAATCCCACTGGGTCCAGGTGACGGAGGGGTGGACAGCAGTGTGGGTTGAGGTGAAGTTGATGGGGGTGTGGGAAAACCCTCTCTCTCCCATCGCTCCATGGTGTGCAGCACGCGATCCATCGCTGTGCCCAGATTGTGGAGCATCGTCGCGTGCTGCTGTACGCGCTCCTCCACCGGTACCGGAGGACTGGGTGCACCTGCTGACTCCATAGGTGGTGCGTGATTCTGTCAGGTGTCAGTGTGCAGCGGTAGGATGGAGTCAGGCGCAGGACACAGAACTGAGTAAATAACAAACTTTACTCTGAAAAGCAATGAATCTATACAAATGAAATACAAATGCTCACAGCAGTACATAACACCAAACAAAGAACAATCACGCACAAAACCATGAGGGAAGCAGAGGGTTAAATAGTGAAATAATCATAACGTCAAGACAAAACAACATAGAAAAAGAAACGTAGATCGGTGGCAGCTAGAAGACCGGTGACGACGACCGCCGATAGCCGCCCGCACAAGGAGAGGCACCAACTTCGGCGGAAGTCGTGACAGTAAGTCACATTTTTTGGTAGATAATATCAATAGCTGTAGCCACTGAAGTGAAAAAAATAAAATAATAATACTTTTTGGGGAAAAGTCTGCCACTCCCTCACTTGTCCAGGTGATAACATAACATTACATTTACATTTACATTTTAGTCATTTAGCAGACGCTCTTATCCAGAGCAACTTACAGTTAGTGAATACATTATTTATTTTTTCAGGAAGCATCCTTCCAGCAGCTAGCTAGCTACAGTACAAGGCTCTGTGTCATTTTAGGTTTTAGCTAGCTAAATTGTTTGGCTAGCTATCAAGCTATATAGCTAGCTTCTTTAATAAGTAGGTCTACATTAAATAGATAATCTATAGCCTTAGCCACGTAATGTTACTGCATAGCTAGATTGATTGTGTTGAGCTTCCAAATCATTGCCCTTTTCGTCTGTTTTTGTCCAAAATATTGAGTCCCTTACAAAAAAAGATTGCAGTTTTGAAACTGCAGTAAAAGTGCAGTAACTGCAGTCGACTGTGGTATTTTGGAAGAATTAATTGCAGAATAACTATAGTGTACTGCAGTTGAACTTAATTTATACTCCACTGTAACTGCAGTCTTTTTCATAAAGGGTGAGTGAAACTGATACAGTTCATCCCCTGAATGGCTGGAGGCAGTAAACAATGTAACATTACCAGCTGTGATTTACAACCTGATGGCAATATTTATTAGACTACTTAGTGATTTATTGGTGAATTTTATTAATCATGCATTGATTGCAACAATTTAATTCTGCCAACAATGCCTTACTCTAGGTCATGTAATTTTGAGTCAAATATAATCCATTTTAAAAACCTGTTAGATGGTTGTGAAGCATGAAGTGCGAATTTGATATTTTGGACCGATATCTGTTTGTTTCATTTCTGCAAAGTAGTTTAAACGGTGTCAGTTCCAAGTTAACTTGTAGAGTTTAACTGTTTTCTTCTCTTCTCATGCTACTAACACCCCCTCAGACACATAGCAACATATTTACAGACACTCTGTGGTCTGTATCTAAGCTTTGTTAGGGCCTGCTGGCCTATTGCACACAGGACACTTGTCTCTCTCTCTCTCTCTGTTTTTTTCTACTCTCTCTCCCCCTCTCTTTCTCTCGCTCTATCTCCCTCTCGCTTCCTCTCTCTCCCTCTCTCTCTCTCACTGTTTTTTTCTCCCTCTCCCTCTCTCTCTCTCTCTCTCTCTCTCTCTCTCTCACTATCTCCCTCTCTATCCCTCTCCATCTCCCTCTCTCCCTCTCTTTCTCTCTATCCCTCTCTCTCGCTCTCTCTCTCTCTGTTTCTCTCTTTCTGTGGTTTCCGGCTGGATGTCTCAGAGCTGTTACCTCTCTCATACTGAACTTAGTCTATACTCCACTTGTTCTTCAAGTTAACCATTTTAGTAACCAACAATAAACCAACTCTTGACATTAAACTAAACTTTTGATGAGGCAGTTTTATCTATTCATAGTCGACTGAAATCTGTGAAAATACACAATGAGAGATTTATTAGGTAATTTGACATAGTGATCAGTAGTTCTTAGTCAAACACAAACCCTTTTTTAAGTGTGATGTTAGGCCACTAGAACCATGGACCTGCTCAATAACAATATCATAGGAGGACATTCTATCCATCTATTCTACTGAGTATAAATACTGAATGAGAGATCACTAAAGGAAGACTACTGTATTGTGTTTGCTGTGTTTTTTACATAGATGTTTTTGGTGAGGTGAAGTGACTTTGTGGTGATAGAAGCCCTGGTGGATGACATTGTCATAGCATGCATGTTCCCAAAAAAACTATGAATCTCTTATACTACAGTAGCTGCAGTGATCAAGAATAAGGGATGCCTAACTTCAATAATAAGTACATCATTTCTAATAAATCTATAATGATCAGAATCTACCTATAAAACAACTATTCTGAGTTAGTCCAGCCAGGATAATATGTGAGACAGAGCTGTACAATACTCATGAGAAGGACATGGGTGCGCCTGAATGAGGTGTCAACATAAATGCCGCGTCCAGGTCGACCAATCACCTAGAACTCCATTGTTGAAGTGTTGTACATAAGGGTGGAGTTTTTCCACTCAAGACAAGTTGTGAAGAGGATGACAACTTTAAAGATGATCACACTTTGTCATATATTTCCTCTTCTTGTAGAGATGGGTATGTCAATCTTTTATATTTCTCTGCTTATGCGATGTCCAGACTTGATTTGGAGACACAAGGTTTCCAATTATTGTTTTACAGACACTTTGACAATCCAAAGTTGTATTTGGTGTAACCTATAGCATAGTTAATATATTTTCATGTTCTCTAGTTCATGTGCTAGCTGGAACTGAGTCTTCATCCATACGTCAAGAGAGTGGTATCATGTCAGCCAACGTTGGAGACACAGTGATTTTGCACTGCTTTCATGAAAGCGACATGGCAGTATTGTTCTCTTGGTACAAGCAAACCTTGGGAGTTAGACTTCAGCTCTTCTCAACTGTCAATAAGTTTGAAAAGAATGCAACATTCTACCATGAGTTTAAGGATAACACTCGCTTCTCAGTGGAAAATGGCCAAGAAAAGAATCACCTAAGGATCTCACACATGCAGCTGTCAGATTCAGGCACATACTACTGTGGGAGCTCTTACAGCAATAAGATGGAGTTTGGAGAAGGAGCCATTCTCATTGTAAAAGGTAAAAATAACATTATTTTTTAAAATATGAATTTAGAGATATAATGTGTAAGTATGAGGTATTCTCTTAAGCAGATGAGATTTTATTTTAACAAATGATCAGTTAGAACAATTGCTACCGTGATATTCTAGAAATGATGTGGGTTAATTCACCTTTTTGTCAGTTTCAGAGTCCAGAAACATGACTGTGCTCCAGCAATCTGTGTCTGAGTCAGTCCAGCCAGGAGACTCTGTGACTCTGAACTGTACAATACACACTGAGACCTGTGCAGGAGAACACAGTGTCTATTGGTTCAGACATGGCTCAGGAAAATCCCCTCCAGGAATCATTTACACCCATAGAGACAGGAGTGATCAGTGTGAGAAGAGCCCTGAGACTGGGTCTCCTACACAGAGCTGTGTCTACAACCTCCACAAGAGGAACCTCAGCATATCTGATGCTGGGACTTACTACTGTGCTGTGGCCTCATGTGGGGAGATACTGTTTGGGAAAGGGACCATGCTGGACATTGAGAGTAGGTTAAAGAGCTAAAATGTTTTTTAATCAAAGTTATTTACATTGCAGGTGAAGTCTCAATCCAAAGTCTCTTAAAAAAGACATACTTTCAGACTAGACAATCTACAGAAATATATTATCTATATTTAGTTCTATCTATCACTGTTTTAATCATCACAGACCATAGAGCAGACCCTCTTCTCTTGGTGTACTGCCTGGGTGTAGCATTGGCTCTTTCGTTCATCCTGATCATTATCCTTGCTTACATCATGTACAAGATGAACAAGAGAAAGTGCAGAGGTAAGTGATTAAATGTTGCTATTCTTTGATATCACCATCTCTAGATGTAGCAAAAGTGGAAGACTTGGATTTATATTGTTTTGTGTCGTTGTTCTCAGAACTGGTCTCTCAGACAAGAGGTCCTACAGTTTCCCGGTCAGGTGCAGGGGTAAGCAGGAATCATTTTGTGTTGTAATGAAAACACAACCTCAGTCAGCTTGCAAAAAATTATTACATTTAACGTTAAAAATGCTGTTCTGTTTCTTACAGGCCCAAGATGGAGACAGTCTCCATTATGTAGCTCTGAATCTGAGCAACAAGAAGAACAGGTCTAGAAGACAGAGAAGCAACATGGTGGAGGAGATGGTGTACTCTGGGATTAGACAGTAGAACTGGATGAATGACACAGTTGTCATGTTATGCAAGATAGCTCTTTATTAACTAGATATATGTGAATGCTTCAGTACTCTTTTAAGTGTAATACAAAGTACAAATAATTGAACGCATTGCTTCTCTGTCCAAGTCATTTTACATTTGATTTGCATGTGTAAAGAAAACAAAGCATTTCCAACTGCTAAACCAAATTAATTAGAATAAGTTGAACTCAATGCATTCTGTCCACACACCACTGTGGTCATAGTGGAGGGTGTTACTGTGACTTTCCACTATTGGAAACTAACCTTTCATATACTTTTAACACAGGAAGACTAACCTGCAGCAACACACTGCAATCTACTTTCCCTCTCAGGGCCAAAGTACTGTTCACACCCGTTAGTGCAACACTGGTCTCTACACACAGTGCTTATAATGTAAAGGTCAATGTCTTCTCATTTATGTAAAGTCAGTTAGTCCCTTGCATCATTTCACAGTAAATATCATGCAGTTGTAGTATAGGAGGTTTCTTCTTTGTTTTCTCTTTAAGACATAGGCCTACTTATTGCATGACACACACCCCCTCACATACACAGCAATGTATTTAAATGTACTCTGATGTCTGTTATGAACAAAACACGAGGCTGTAGTTATTCTACGCAGGACCCTCTCAGTCTTTCTTTCTCTCTCTCTCTCTCTCTCTCTCTCTCTCTCTCTCTCTCTCTCTCTCTCTCTCTCTCTCTCTCTCTCTCTCTCTCTCTCTCTCTCTCTCTCTCTGTCTCTGTCTCTCTCTCTCTCTGTCTCTCTCTCTCTCTCTCTCTCTCTCTCTCTCTCTCTCTCTCTGTCTCTCTCTCTATCTAACTCTGTATGTCTCTCGCTGTCTCTCTCTATCTCTCTTCTCTCTCTGTCTTTGTCTGTCTCTCTCTCTCTGTCTCTCTCTCTTCATCTCTCTCTCTCTATGTGGTTTCAGCAGGATATCTCAGTGGTATCAGTTAGTTGTATGACATACTCTTTTGCTCTTCATGTTGCCCTTTTTATCAACAATAGAACACTATTTTTATGAGGGATGTAGTTATCTATACATAGTCTACTGAAATCTGTGAAAAACCACAATTAACTATTTTTTAGGTCATTTGACCTAGAGATCTGAAGTACGTAGTTAAACACAAACCATGGTTTGAAGTGGGATGTAAAGTGTCATCATCATCTGGGCCAAGAAGAAATAGCCTCCTTCTAATTATATAATGGGAGGGCTTTTATTCGTCCATACATTAGAGAATAAATAGTATATGAGATTCTGCTGGTTAAGCAACAACGTTTCCTGTTTCTCTGTGTTATGAAGTGAATGTGTGGTAGTCATAGAGGCCCTAGAGGATGACAGGGTCAAGACATGTGGCCAACCAGGTCCCAACTACTGTATGACTCCCTTGGACCATAATGGCAAGACAAACATTAAGTAAAGGGATCCATTGACTCTTGCTGTTGTGCCACTTACTTTGGGTGGACAAGCCCTCTGTTGGCCTGCTTCAGTACATAGTATTGTAGACAGCATGAGCTGTAGTTAGACCTAATAAAGGATATATCCACAGTAGTCACATTGTTTAAAAAATACATCTGAACATCCACATATTCAAACTTGCTATGTGATAAAGTTGTGCAACACAGAATCAAGCTGTACAACAACTTGAAAGGACAGTGTTTGTTCCATTCATGGCCTACTGGACGGCCCATCGAGTGTTCAGCCAATCAAATCTGACCATCAAAATCAGACGGTACCTGAGATCAACCAATGAACACAAATGCAAGTTTCCGTTCTTTTCTGTAGAAAGACTGCATTTTACACAGGTCAATCTCGTCCCGTGAAGGAGCAGGCAAGACGAATAAGCTCCTCACCTTTTTTTAAATCTGGAAAGCATGGAAGTAACATCTAGCTCAATTGACTAATGTTATACATGTTTACTTTACATTTAAAGTGCTTACTATAGACGTTTGGTAAATGTTTTAAATGTAGTAAATATAGTTGTTTTTTCAGGTGCATTTCCAACACCAGTTATTGTTCAGCCCACCTCTTCCCAGAAAGCAAAGCTGGGAGGCAATGTGACTATTGAATGCCACATGACCAGTGAGAACACAAACTACATGGTAAGGTACAAACTCACCACCGGCATGGTGCTTCAGTACATCGCTAAATCTTCTAAGTACCTGAGTGATGTGCTATTCTACAATGAATTTGATGATGGGTGATTCACTGTGATGGCTGCCAAAAACACATTTCACCTCAACATTTCTGCCACAAAGCAAGAGGACATTGGGACCTACTATTGTGGGAAGATTTTCTTGAATCACATGCTGTTTGCTCATGGAACCATGTTAATGCTGACAGGTGAAAATATTACAAATACTATATTTTTATAATACGGTACTTATTTATATTTTTTATTAGTAATTTTCCACAACGATGCTTTTTTGTGCTCTACCATTCTTAGGCACAACGTCAAAATGCAATACACACTGAGACCTGTGCAGGAGAACACAGTGTCTATTGGTTCAGACATGGCTCAGGAGAATCCCATCCAGGAATAATTTACAACAATGGAGACAGGAGTGATCAGTGTGAGAAGAGCCCTGAGGCTGGGTCTCCTACACAGAGCTGTGTCTACAACCTCCCCAAGAGGAACCTCAGCCTCTCTGATGCTGGGACTTACTACTGTGCTGTGGCCTCATGTGGGGAGATACTGTTCAGGAATAGGAATAGACTGGAGATCAAGGATAGGTGATACATCTAACATATCTGTTTATATCTATTGTATAATCTACTGTGTCAAACTGCTCACAATACTAGTTATTTAGATCACATAAGAAAACATGCATTCATTGCAAATATTACGGCATTAGATTTGACCTAGAGACTGAATTGAGTGAGTCTGTGTTTCATCCCCATAGCTCCACGGTGACGATGATGCCCTGAACTACACTGCCCTGAAGTTCACTGACAAGAAGAGTAATAATAATAATATGCCATTTAGCAGACGCTTTTATCCAAAGCGACTTACAGTCATGCGTGCATACATTTTTGTGTATGGGTGGTCCCGGGGATCGAACCCACTATCTTGGCGTTACAAGCGCTGTGCTCTACCAGCTGAGCTACAGAGTACCAATCCCAGGAGACAGAGGAGAGAACAGTGAGAACAGAGAGAGGAAGAAACCATCTACTCTGGAGTGAGTAATCAAGACAGGATGTGACATGTGAGGGTCATCAAATCAGCATCATTCTAGGTTAAGCCCCACCCCTCCTCTGAACTCCACTTTGATCTTGACTGTTCCAGTGTGAACTGGCTATTATATACATTTCTCATTTGCTGTAGGATGTCATTGCAGGGGCCTAGCTTCACCTAATACAAATGTAAAATAAAGCTGATACTAGGATGATTTCAGAAGTCTCACATCCTCAGCAATACAGGCTGAGGTTGACTGACTGCATACATTTGTTTTTGTAGAAGTGTACAACAAAATGTATATATTGATTTTGCAAATGTCTGAGCTCTTACTTTTCATGATAATGGTTGTAACATGGAAGTCTGTAACCTGCCTTTATGATTGTGTGATAGTTCAATAAACATATTTTTATTTCCTAGTTAAATGACTTGCCCAATTCTTACCACTTGCCCAATTCTTACCACTCATTCTAGGTTAAGCCCCACCCCTCCTCTGAACTCCACTTTGATCTTGACTGTTCCAGTGTGAACTGGCTATTATATACATTTCTCATTTGCTGTAGGATGTCATTGCAGGGGCCTAGCTTCACCTAATACAAATGTAAAATAAAGCTGATACTAGGATGATTTCAGAAGTCTCACATCCTCAGCAATACAGGCTGAGGTTGACTGACTGCATACATTTGTTTTTGTAGAAGTGTACAACAAAATGTATATATTGATTTTGCAAATGTCTGAGCTCTTACTTTTCATGATAATGGTTGTAACATGGAAGTCTGTAACCTGCCTTTATGATTGTGTGATATTCAATAAACATATTTTTATTTCCTAGTTAAATGACTTGCCCAATTCTTACCACTTATTTGCACCAGGTATCAAAGGATCACATCTTATTTTGTCAAAAAGGTGCCAACCTCACCAGGGTTCACTTCCTCCTGAAAGCTTGAACTGCTTCTACAGACATGAAGAGAGAAATACAATGTAAACCCCCTGTGTATGTCAAAGAGGACATATGTACCACTAGTCTCAGCCACCGACCCAAATGATGAAAAAATACAAACCAGTAACTCTGACATTACATCATTTGAAGGGCTGCTCTAACTATGGTATGCCACAGGACTCACGTTAGATTGTAGTTTTTATCACATGTTTTATGCCTATTCAGACAGCCAATAATATCACTTAGTTCAGAGTTTCCGCCTCCTTCATAATGATTACCCGATGAGTGTCATCATATAAAAGGTGCCCCGTTGTCAGGCCCACACACTTTACAGTGCAGAAAGGACATTAAAATGATGATTATGTATTGGACAATATTTTTGTTTAACGCCAATTTGGGTAAGTAAGAAATATAAATGTGGATCCTTTTGAATGACCATGTAGTCTGAATAATGATAATAATGTATAATTCTGTACTATACCTTTGTCTTTGATTTATTCAGTTTGTTTGCATCACAGGTTGTGCACTTAACAACGATGTAATCCAACCAGACCCTGTGATGGTTACACACCTGGGACAAAGTGTATCTCTCACTTGCTTTTGTCAATCTAATTTAATGGTCAGAGTCTCTTGGTTCAAACAAATTGTTGGACAGAAGCCTCTTCTCATGGCATCATCATATTATCGCACTCAAAATGCTTTTTATTACAACAATTTTACCAAGGACTTTAATGAGACTAAACGTTTGAGTGTGAAGAGAGGAGTTGACAGCTGTAACCTGACCATCTCCAAGACAAGGTCAGGGGACTCTGCTACATACTACTGTGGTGGTATGGAAATGGGTGAAGTCAAATTTGGAGAAGGAACTTTTTTAATTGTCAAAGGTAACTTAAGTCGGTTCCTAAGTGCGTTCAAATAATGCTAAATTAATGAATCTAGCAGGAAAATAGAATGTACACACCATGATCTTACTCACTCTCTTTAGATTCAGGGTCCAAGAGCATGTCTGTGATTCAGCAGCCTGTGTCTGAGTCAGTCCAGACAGGAGACTCTGTGACTCTGAACTGTACAATACACAATGACACCTGTGCAGGAGAACACAGTGTCTATTGGTTCAGACATGGCTCAGGAGAATCCCGTCCAGGAATCATTTACAACAATGGAGACAGGAGTGATCAGTGTGAAAAGAGCCCTGATGCTGGGTCTCCTACGCAGAGCTGTGTCTACAACCTCCCCAAGAGGAACCTCAGCCTCTCTGATGCTGGGACTTACTACTGTGCTGTGGCCTCATGTGGGGAGATACTGTTTGGGAATGGGACCAAGCTGGACTGTTAGTGATATTTCTGACATTTCTAAAATGTCGTAACATTCTATGCCTGGTTGAACAAAATGTCCTGAATCTCCTCTATCACTGTCTGTATTTCTACAGATGGTTGTAAGGAGGACCATGTTCTCTTGGTGTACTGTCTGGGTGTAGTGTTGGCTCTTTGTGTCATCCTCATCATTGTCCTTGGTTGTGTTTTGTATAAGATGACCAAGAAAACCTCTCTGCTGTGTAGAGGTAAGTGTTATCATTGCCCCCAATATATGGTTAAATTGTTGGTGCTGTATACATTACATGTTTTAGTTGTGAAACTGGGTTAATTCATTGTATGATGAAGATGTTGATGATGATGATTCCTTCATGTTTGTCTAAAAGGAACGCATCCTCAGCTAAGTGGTACGGCAGTCCCCAGTTCACATAACCAGGTATGTACCTTATGGTGAACTATTCTGAGTATGACTTTGATTAACTGTAAATTATTCTATCAAATTATCTGGTCATTTCCTGATGTCTTTGGAATTTGTTTTGCTATTCCTCTTAGGATCAAGAAGATGATGACACACTCACGTCGGTCCATTACGCTGCTCTGAATGTCATCCACAAGAAGCCAAAGACCCAGAGACAGAGGAGCGCCATGGAGAGAGACACTGTGTATTCTGGGGTGAGGTGCCAAAACATGGACTGAAACATAGATTTACCTCCTTTAAGACTTGCATTGCTTTTTCTGTTACACACTGTGTTTTTATCATTAGAATTGTGTTACAATTGCTTGTATTCTGTCAAACTCCTTTTTACATTACTGTTGTGATACTGTTGTTATAAAATAAAACATGAATTCACTGTAATTTAGATGTATTGTTTGATTTTCACTCATATTCTTCAAGTTAAACTGAGACGTTTGTAGGGACATTGCATCCAGATTACATGTTGTGCATAATAGCATGCATAGAGGACATTCGATTGACTAACACTTTCAGTTGTCTCAAACTCTCTTTTTTAAGCTGTATCCTGCATCAAATCTCTGTGGTGTTCTGAAGGCCCTAAATAGATTTTCCACACAGCTTAACTCCTTTCTAGCCCCCAGCAATGACCACCAGTCCTCACCACACACTGTCTTCACACACCTCAGTGCATCAAAGCCACAAACATCCATGTTACTGAGGGCACAACTCACTCTCTTCATGAGAGAGAGTATATTTTGAAGAGAGCTGATATTGTTGAAAATATAATCCAAATATGACAATGTACACATTGTAACTAAGAAGTTTTCACAAGCAATACAAAATAAGTCGCTCTGGATAAGAGCGTCTGCTAAATGACAAAAGAAAAAAAAATGAAAGTCCCCATAACTGCCTTAATAGTAGAGATGGCAGCAAATTTTAGAATGGACAAAATGTTCAAATTAATCACCAAGAATCATTGAAAACTTATTTTCCTGTGTGTAGTCATAATAGCTGTCAAGAAATGCTCAACAAAGACAATGTTTGGTTAAGAATCTTTAACAAGGTAATTTATTATATGCATATTACACATCTGTATCATGTTATAAATCCATTTCAGAATCATAGTGTCACATGAATCAAACAGGCTAGGTAGTCATCATCACTGGATCATTACTACCAACATCAATTAAGTTATTATTACATTTGAGTCATTTAGCAGACGCTCTTTTCCAGAGCGACTTACAGGAGCAATTAGGGTTAAGTGCCTTGCTCAAGGGCACATCGACAGATTTTTCACCTAGTCGGCTCGGGGATTAGAACCAGCGACCTTTCGGTTACTGGCACAACGCTCTTAACCACTAAGCTACCTGCCGCCCAACTAAGTGTAGCTTAGTTAACAGGAGGAGCCACAGCATCACTCAAAATAAAATGGGTAGCAGAGTGATCTCTAAATGACAAAGATAATGACTCGTGTTTGTGTGTAGTTTTATATTGAGTTCCAGAGAGTAGTTGAATAAGTATTGGAGAGAACCTATTTATTCAAGTCATCTCTCCTCTGTAATGTGTTGTCCTCTTCTAGTTGTGTTGATAGCATGCCATTCAAACCCACCCCCAAACAACAAGTTCACAGGTTCTCTGCAGTCTTCTGTAAGCCCAAGACAAGGCCGTGTCTACGCTTTGGTAAGGTGGGCTTGCTGGCTTTGTGCACACAGCAACCTTCTACCTGCTCTCTGTGTCTCTGTGTCTCTATTTGGTTTTCAGCAGGATGTCTATGTGGTGTCACTATTGTTCTCACCATCTTTACTTGTTGTTCATGTTGCCCTTGACAACTTTCAGCCAAAGCAAAAAAGTTATTTATAAAACTGACTCTAATATATATTTGTGACCCGTTCAGAAAGCTAGGCGTATGTCGCACGTCACTACTTCACAGGAGAGGCATTTAAACGTTTATTTGTATTTTTATAAAAATGTGTTTTTGGGCAGAAATGCCTTCTGGAACATGTGACCTTTATGTGCCTTAATAAGTATGCCATTTGTAAATAGGAATAAAGGAAAAATATTTAGATCATAGTTGGTTTAGCCACAGAAAAAGCTAGCTAACATTGAACCTAGTTGGTTAGCTTTAGCTACCTGCAGATTCATACTATAGCATTTCATGCATGGTGGCTAGCTATGACAATTTGTTTGTATTGCTATGGTATGGGTTGGGGTTATGTTTAATTGTTTAGCTAGTTAGCTAGCTACAAGACTCCACTTCGCCAGATGATTACATGACCGATCAAGTTAGCCAGGTGTGTCTGGGGGTGATTACAGCCATCTATTGTATTTCATGAACATGTGTACATGTCTAGACAATAGTGACTCATCCACTTAGCTAGATGTGGCTAGGGGGTGGTTATAGCATTTATTTCACATTACTCATCAATTTAGACAAGTGTGTCTGGGTAAGCATCATCTAATAATTATTACATATTTATCAAATCTTTTTTTCTGGAGACTTTCTACTTTTGATATTGCTACTATGCAAATATGCAAGTAACTATTTCACTGTACCGTTTACACCATCTGTATCCTGTGCAGGTGACAAATAAACTGAGATTTTATTTGATATACAGTTGAAGTCGGAAGTTTACATACACCTTAGCCAAATACATTTCAACTCAGTTTTTCACAAATCCTGACATTTAATCGTAGTAAACATTCCCTGTTTTAGGGCAGTTAGGATCATCACTTTATTTTAAGAATGTGAAATGTCAGAATAATAGTAGAGATAATTATTTATTTCAGCTTTTATTTCTTTCATCACATTCCCAGTGGGTCAGAAGTTTACATACACTCAATTAGTATTTGGTAGCATTGCCTTTAAATTGTTTAACTTGGGTCAAACGTTTCGGGTAGCCTTCCACAAGCTTCCCACAATAAGTTGGGTGAATTATGGCCCATTCCTCCTGAGAGAGCTGGTGTAACTGAGTCAGGTTTGCTCGCACACACTTTTTCAGTTCTGCCCACAAATGTTCTATAGGATTGAGGTCAGTGCTTTGTGATGGCCACTCCAATACTTTGACTTTGTTGTCCTTAAGCCATTTTGCCACAACTTTGGAAGTATGCCTGGGGTCATTGTCCATTTGGAAGACACATTTGCGACCAAGCTTTCACTTCCTGACTGATGTCTTGAGATGTTGCTTCAATATATCCACATAATTTTTCTTCCTCATGATGCCATCTATTTTGTGAAGCACACCAGTCCCTCCTGCAGCAAAGCACCCCCACAACATGATGCTGCCACCCCTGTGCTTCATGGTTGGGATGGTGTTCTTCGGCTTGCAAGAATCCCCCTTTTTCCTCCAAACATAACGATGGTCATTATGGCCAAACAGTTCTATTTTTGTTTCATCAGACCAGAGTACATTTCTCCAAAAAGTACGATCTTTGTCCCCATGTGCAGTTGCAAACCGTAGTTTGTTTTTTAATGGCGGTTTTTGAGCAGTGGCTTCATCCTTGCTGAGCGGCCTTTCAGGTTATGTCGATATAGGACTTGTTTTACTGTGGATATAGAAACTTTTGTACCTGTTTCCTCCAGCATCTTCACAAGGTTCTTTGCTGTTGTTCTGGGATTTATTTGGACTTTTCGCACCAAAGTACATTCATCTCTAGGAGACAGAACGCGCCTCCTTCCTGAGCGTTATGATGGCTGTGTGGTCCCATGGTGTTTATACTTGCGTACTATTGTTTGTACAGATGAATGTGGTACCTTCAGGATTTGGAAATTGCTTCCAAGGATGAACCAGACTTGTGGAGGTCTACAATTGTTTTTCTGAGGTCTTGGCTGATTTCTTTTGATTTTCAATGGTGTCAAGCAAAGAGGCGCTGAGTTTGAAGGTAGGCCTTGAAATACATCCACAGGTACACCTCCAATTGACTCAAATTATGTCAATTAGCTTCTAAAGCCATGACAAGCTGTTTAAAGGCACAGTCAACTTAGTGTATGTAAACATCTGACCCACTAGAATTGTGATACAGTGAATTATAAGTGAAATAATCTGTCTGTAAACAAATTACTTGTGTCATGCACAAAGTAGATGTCCTAACCGTCTTGCCAAAAACTATAGTTTGTTAACAAGAAATTGGTGGAGTGGTTGAAAAACGAGTTTTAATGACTCCAACCTAAGTGTATGTGAACTTCAGACTTCAACTGTAGGTAGCTGGAGTAATTTAGTAATTATGGATGAAGTATGTATCTCTCTCTCTCTTTATTTTAGAATCTGAACGTGGACACAGAGAATTACGCTGCACTGAGCTTCTCAATAAACAGATCTGAGTGTGGAAGAGGGAGAGGGCAGGGTGGAGATGTTTCTGAGACACACATTGTGTATTCTTCCATAAAGCAACAGCAGTGAAATAGTCGTTTGATAATATTAACATATCATACTGTATATACTGGGTCATTTTGTCAGAATTGAATCCCGGAACCGACTAGGTGAACAATCTGTCGATGTGCACTTGAGCAAACCCTAATTGCTCCTGTAAGTCGCTCTGGATAAGAGTGTCTAGTTCTAGTAAATTACTTAAATGTTAATGTAAGTCATTGAGAACACATTGTCTTTTACAAAAACCAGCTGTGTATGTAAATATTATGTTTATGTCATTTTAACAAAGGAGCATAAGAGGTTTAACTTGAATGTCCAGCTTTGTCCCGTTCCCAAACAGTATCTCCCAACATGAGGCCACAGCACAGTAGTAAGTACCAGCGTCAGAGAGGCTGAGGTTCCTCTTGGGGAGGTTGTAGACACAGCTCTGTCTGGGAGACCCAGCCTCAGGGCTCTTCTCACACTGATCACTCCTGTCTCCAATATTGTAAATGATTCCTGGACGGGATTCTCCTGAGCCATGTCTGAACCAATAGACGCTGTGTTCTCCTGCACAGCTCTCAGTGTGTATTTTATACTTCAGAGTCACAGAATCTCCTGGCTGGACTGACAGACATAGATTGCTCTACATCTGTCTTGGTGTTGGAGCCTGAATCTGAAAAGAGGGTTTAAATATGCCATTAAATATGTGTCAGCTATCTACAACTTCCCCGTAGCAAGAGTTCTTACTCAATGAGAGAATCATCAGAATGTGAGAATAGTTTATATTTAAAGTAACATTGTAAATTCCTAAAAAGTTTTTTATTCTTAGGCTAACTCATCACTACTCTTTGTCTACAAATTCAGACTTTCTCTGAAAATATTTAAGTAATATTAAAACAATTTTCTCAGTGCTGTAGCTCTTACATTGACGATGGTTCCTTTTCCAAATTCCAACACATTTGAGTGAGCACTCCCACAGTAGTATGTGGCTGAATCTGAGCTTTTCATGTCTGAGATACCTCAGGTGATTTATTCCTTGGCCGCTTTGCACTGAAAATCGAGGGTTACCCTTGAACTCATGGTAAAATATAGGACCCTTGTCATACAGTGGGGAAAAAAAGTATTTAGTCAGCCACCAATTGTGCAAATTCTCCCACTTAAAAAGATGAGAGAGGCCTGTAATTTTCATCATAGGTACATGTCAACTATGACAGACAAATTGAGAAAAAATAATCCAGAAAATCACATTGTAGGATTTGTAATGAATTTATTTGCAAATTATGGTGGAAAATAAGTATTTGGTCACCTACAAACAAGCAAGATTTCTGGCTCTCACAGACCTGTAACTTATTCTTTAAGAGGCTCCTCTGTCCTCCACTCGTTACCTGTATTAATGGCACCTGTTTGAACTTGTTATCAGTATAAATACACCTGTCCACAACCTCAAACAGTCACACTCCAAACTCCACTATGGCCAAGACCTGTCAAAGGACACCAGAAACAAAATTGTAGACCTGCACCAGGCTGGGAAGACTGAATCTGCAATAGGTAAGCAGCTTGGTTTGAAGAAATCAACTTTGGGAGCAATTATTAGGAAATGGAAGACATACAAGACCACTGATAATCTCCCTCGATCTGGGGCTCCACGCAAGATCTCACCCCGTGGGGTCAAAATGATCACAAGAACGGTGAGCAAAAATCCCAGAACCACACGGGGGGACCTAGTGAATGACCTGCAGAGAGCTGGGACCAAAGTAACAAAGCCTACCATCAGTAACACACTACGCCGCCAGGGACTCAAATCCTGCAATGCCAGACGTGTCCCCCTGCTTAAGCCAGTACATGTCCAGGCCCGTCTGAAGTTTGCTAGAGTGCATTTGGATGATCCAGAAGAGGATTGGGAGAATGTCATATGGTCAGATGAAACCAAAATAGAACTTTTTGGTAAAAACTCAACTCGTCGTGTTTGGAGGACAAAGAATGCTGAGTTGCATCCAAAGAACACCATACCTACTGTGAAGCATGGGGGTGGAAACATCATGCTTTGGGGCTGTTTTTCTGCAAAGGGACCAGGACGACTGATCCGTGTAAAGGAAAGAATGAATGGGGCCATGTATCGTGAGATTTTGAGTGAAAACCTCCTTCCATCAGCAAGGGCATTGAAGATGAAACGTGGCTGGGTCTTTCAGCATGACAATGATCCCAAACACACCGCCCGGGCAACGAAGGAGTGGCTTCGTAAGAAGCATTTCAAGGTCCTGGAGTGGCCTAGCCAGTCTCCAGATCTCATCCCTTTTGAAAATCTTTGGAGGGAGTTGAAAGTCTGTGTTGCCCAGCGACAGCCCCAAAACATCACTGCTCTAGAGGAGATCTGCATGGAGGAATGGGCCAAAATACCAGCAACAGTGTGTGAAAACCTTGTGAATACTTACAGAAAACGTTTGACCTGTGTCATTGCCAACAAAGGGTATATAACAAAGTATTGAGAAACTTTTGTTATTGACCAAATACTTATTTTCCACCATAATTTCCAAATTAATTAATTAAAAATCCTACAATGTGATTTTCTGGATTTTTTTTCTAATTTTGTCTGTCATAGTTGACGTGTACCTATGATGAAAATTACAGGCCTCTCTCATCTTTTTAAGTGGGAGAACTTGCACAATTGGTGGCTGACTAAATACTTTTTTTCCCCATTGTACTTATAGATGGTTGAGATGAGCTGAGGTTTTTCTGCCAAGGGTTGCTTGTACCAGGAGAAATGCATGGCCATTCATAGAAGCGCTGCAAAGTCACTGTGTCCCCAACGTTGGAAGACATGAGACCACTCTCCTGTTGTATGACTGAGGGCTCAGTCCCAGCTCCTGCATGAACTACAACAAAAGAAAAGACAACATCTTACACAAATATTTTAACTGCTATATATACATTAAAATACAAGAGTTAAAAATATATATATATTGTATCATTGTACTTCCTGATGAAGGCTATGGCGAAACGTGGCTGAGTAAAAAAAAAAGTATATATATATATTGAACATGCCATCATAATAAAAGTAAATAAAACATACCCATCTCTACAAGAAGAAAAAATGCATACAGTTGTGTGAACATCCTAATAGCTGTCATCTTCTCTTCAAAACCTGTGTCTTGAGTGGAAAAGTCTACCTCTGTAGAACAACACTTCTCAAATGAGGTTATTTAGTTTCTGAGATGCATTGTATAGTCTGCGGTATCTCATTTAGCATATCAGCAGATTACAGGGTTTCCACAATGAACAGCGAGGATGTGCTGAAGATAGGCTAAGTGCCCCTGTGGTGACTTGACCTAACCCAGATTACAAGAGACCGGATGGACACAGCTGAGCGTCCTGTTGGGCTGACTCTATTGTGTTTATCTTCTATGATCAATGCTTTCAAATGTAATGCAGCAAAGGTCCGAATTTCACTTTTTGGATGAAGAATGAAGTTTAGCAAAAGCCTGGACTTTTTCAGAGGTCAAATATTGTTGTCTTGACAACCCACTCCCATTTAGGCAGTGGGGAACGGCAAAGGCATTCTACGCCTTCAGAGAAGGCCCAAGGATTTATAAAGTCATCATTGTATATGTTTAACATAAATGTCGTTTTAATTTCTATTTCATATTTTCAATCATATTTAAATGATTTTCTCATTATATTCTTCTTTTCAATGACATTCTGATCTCTTCAGTTTGTGTTTAAAAGGAAAGGGTTAAAACTGAGGAGAAAAAATATCCAATCAGGATGTTTCTTTGGTGGTCTCTGAGCAGATAAATCTAGCTAGATAGCTCACCATTGGCTAAACCCTCAGAAGCTCGATAGAAGGCATCAGCTATTCAACCATTTTAGATCAGAATTTTGGAGTGACAGTGGAACCAACCAATCACAGTTTGACTTGTAATGGGTGGGAGCATTTTTACAAAAACGTATGGAAACTTCCGCCATTCTTGAAGGACGACAGGTCACCACGCAATAGCGAGTCGTAGTTTTCCCAGTCTAATCTAGCTATTTTTTGTTGTAGGCTAGTGTGCAGCAGCTGCTGTAGCAGGTGTTATCGAAGATGATGTTGATGCTAATTTGTTAGCGTCATTCTTTTCACGATTAACTTTGAAGAAGAAGTTGTTTCAAATTATCGTCATCTGGTGAGCGGAACTGTTTTTTTTTTATTGCAGCTCGCTTGCTGTTAGCTATCTCTTTGAAAATAATGTGTTATGCGTGTGAAACATTGTTGCATTTAGATCATTGGTTAGTGGTGATAGCGTGATAGTGATGGTGTTAGGCTACCATACATTGTGTAAGCAATGTGGATGTTGTTGCTTGTAACGTTAGTGTGGGTGGTTTCTCTGTTTATCTTAATTTTGAGTTTGGTACAACGTTTTGGAAGATTTGTTTCAGGAAGACTGGCCTTCAGCTCTCATCACACCTCTCAGTGCATCAAACCCACAGACGCTCTTTTCACACCTCTCTTAATTTGTTCATCTGGATGATAAACACCAGACCCCTGACACTCATTTAGATGTGGCAAGTATGTGAAGAACACAAACAAGCTAAAACTCATTGTCACAACTTCGCGTTGGACAACTACGGGGAGTTCGCTCGCCTCTTCCGGGCCGTCTTCGATCACCCTACCGAAGGGAGAGAGGCGGGCGAGCGGCTGGTCCATTTAAGGCAGGGGACGAGGACCGCGCAGGACTTTGCCCTGGAGTTCAGGATGCTAGCGGCTGGGTCCGGGTAGAACGAGCGGGCCCTCATTGACCACTTCCGGTGCCACCTGCGAGAGGACGTCTGAAGGGAGCTAGCCTTCCGGGACACCACGTTGTCCTTCAATCAACTGGTGGACATGGCCATCCGGTTGGACAACCTGCTGGCTTCTAGAGGACGTCCAGGAAGGGGCCTGCCGTTTCATCCCCCCCCAACCCGGATCATGAGATGATGGAGCTGGGTGGTGCGGCGGTCTGGGAGAGTGGAGGGCCAGTGTCACTCTTGTGGCACGAGAGGACATTCTACGGCGTAAGCGTTCTTTTGGGTCTGGAGGCGGCAGGCAGGGCACTCTCGTGTCACCCCAGGTATCACACTCGTTCAAAGCCCTCTGCTGCGCACTGTACCTTACACATCCACTTCCCTGATTACACGGTGGGCAGTGTAAGGCGCTGCTCGATTCAGGCGCAGCTGGGAACTTTATGGACAGGTCGTTAGCACATAATCTAGGTATTACATTGGTTCCCCTATCCACTACCCATCCAAGCACTTGACAGTCAACTATTAGGGTCAGGGTTCATTAGGGAGGTTACAGAACCAGTCACGATGGTTACACAAGAGACCCATAGAGAGCAAGTCACCTTTTTTAGTATTGAGTCTCCTGATTTCCCTGTTGTGTTGGGTCTTCCCTGGTTAGCACTACACAACCCCACCTTTTCATGGCCGCAGAGGGTCCTCACAGGGTGGTCGCGAGAGTGTCAGGGTAGGTGTCTGGCTGTTTCCGTTGGTGCAACCACTGTGGAAAGTCCAGACACTACCTTGTGCGCATTCCCCTCGAATACCTCGCTTTGCCTCCCAGGAGTCATGTATATCCCCTGTCGCAGGCTGAAATGGAGGCGATGGAGACATACGTCTCAGAGTCCCTGGGCCAGGGGTTTATACGTCCCTCCATTTCACCCGCCTCTTCAAGTTTATTTTTAATGAGGTGTTTCGGGACATGCTTGGTCACGGTGTGGTGGTCTACATCAATGAAATTCTGGTGTATTCCGCTACACGCGCCAAGCATGTGTCCCTGGTTCGCAAAGGGCTGGCCGACTGTTGGAAAATGACCTTTATGCCAAGGCAGAAAAGTGTCTGTTTTTCCATCAGTCCGTACCTCGGATATCGCATTACCACCTCAGGTGTGGAGATGGAGGGAGACCGCATTTCAGCCGTGCGTTATTGGCTGACTCCAACCACGGTAAGGAGGTGCAGTGCTTTATTGGCTTTGCCAATTATTATTGGAGGTTTATCCGGGGCTTTGGCAAGGTCGCAGCTCCCATCACCTCTCTGTTGAAGGGTGGGCCGTCCCGGCTCCGCTGGTCTACTGAGGCTGACAGGGCTTTCAGTTACCTGAGGGCTCTGTTCACCTCAACCCCGGTACTGGCCCATCCCAATCCATCACTACCGTTCGTAGTGGAGGTGGATGCGTCCGAGGTAGGGATAGGCGCTGTCCTATCTCAACGCTCGGGCACGCCACCCAAGCTCAGCCCCTGTGCCTTTTTCTCCAAGAAGCAGCCCGGCAGAGCAGAACTACGACGTTGGTGATCTAGAGCTGTTGGCTGTTGTCAGAGCCCTGACTGTGTGGAGGCACTGGCTCGAGGGGGCGAAACACCCTTTCCTCGTCTGGACTGACCACCGTAACCTGGAGTACATCCGGGCAGCGAGGAGGCTGAACCCTCGCCAGGCCAGGTGGGCCCTGTTCTTCACCTGGTTTGATTTTACACTATCCTACATACCGGGTACTAAGAACGTGAAGGCAGACGCACTGTCACGGCTGTACGACACAGAGGAGAGGCCCATAGACCACACCCCCATACTCCCGGCCTCCTGCATAGTGGCGCCGGTAGTGTGGGCGGTGGACGCGGACATAGAGCGGGCGTTATGCACCTAGCCATCTCCACCACAGTGTCCAGCTGGGCTGCGGTACGTGCCGTCTCTTGTCCGGGATCATCTGATCTATTGGGCACACACATCCCCCTCCTCTGGTCACCCAAGTATCGGTCATACATTGTGCTGCCTGACCGGGAAGTACTGGTGGCCTACCTTGGCTACGGACGTGAGGGTGTATGTCTCCTCCTGCTCGGTGTGCGCCCAGAGTAAGGCACCTAGGCACCTCCCAGTGGGTAAGTTACAGCCCTTACCAGTTCCACAACGGCCATGGTTCCACTTGTGTATTGACTTCCTTACTGATCTTCCCCTCTCTCAAGGTAACACCACCATCCTGGTCGTGGTGGACCATTTTTCAAAAGCCTGCCGCCTCCTTCCTCTGCCCGGTCTCCCCACGGCCCTGCAGACTGCGGAGGTCCTGTTTACTCACGTTTACTCACAATACGTGCATACACAGGGATTCAGCGAAAGCAAGTAACATACTACATATAGTCTATTGATATTGGAGTAGCAGTGCGGTCATGTTCTTTGTTGTGTGTCTGTGTAAATAGCCTGTTTATTTTATTTTTATTTTTTTTCTTACATATTTCCCTATCACACTTTTCATCCTTCTACAAAATATACTTTCCTGCAACCTGTCTCACTCAATGTGGAACGGATTCTATTATTGACTTAACTTTTATCTAGAATCTCCAGTTCTAGCCAGCTAACTAGCTACTTGCTATTAGCCACCGTTAGCAGTTTTCACCCAGAACATCAGATTTTTCTGCCGGAATAACTGAATCACTGGACATTAACACCGGATCGCAACTAGCTAGCCGCAACCGAATGGATTTTGCTGTTTGGCTAATCACCACTGCCCCCGAAGCAAGCACCAGTTATCCTTGAGATAGCCCCATATCCCGGCTATCTACCTCTCTGTCTACCGGACGGGAGTAGCCAGCTAACTAGCTACTTGCTATTAGCCACCGTTAGCGGTTTTTCACCATTGTCCGTGGCCTGCACTACCTACCAGCCAGCTCTAGCCTGGACTATTATCGGCCAGTCTGCACTGTCTGCACAGGGCGTTATCGACCCAGAACATATCGTTTTTTCTGCCGGAATCACTGAATTACTGGACCTTTAACACCGGATCATCGCAGCTAGCTAGCTGCAACTAAATGGACATTGTTGTTGGCTAATCAGCCTTGAGCTAGCCTAGAGCCCATCTCCCAGCTATCTACCTCTC